GCGGTATCCCGTCCACTATACACTGTTAATTGTTGTAAGTAACGTCACAATTTACTGTATCCTGTCCACTATACACTGTTAATTGTTATAAGTAACGTCACAATTTGCTGTAACTCGTCCACTATACACTATTTACCGTTATATTATAACGTCACAATTTCTCGTCCATTATACACTGGTAATTGTTATAAGTAACGTCACAATTTGCTCTATCTCGTCCACTATACACTGGTAATTGGTATAAGTAACGTCACAATTTGCTGTATCTCGTCCACTAAACACTGTTAATTGTTGTAAGTAACGTCACAATTTGCTGTATCTCCTCCACTATACACTGTTAATTAGTATAAGTAACGTCACAATTTGCTGTATCTCGTCCACTAAACACTGTTAATTGTTGTAAGTAACGTCACAATTTGCTGTATCTCGTCCACTAGACATTATTAATTGTTATAAGTAACGTCACAATTATCAAGTACAACACATAAACACGTTAAACTTCATATATCAGACTGTAGCGTACCTCGCCTAGGTGCTATGCCTTTTGGAATCAGTTGTACCTGAAGTATAATACATCTGAATAGAGGGGATATATCACATATACAAAATGGCCTATATCACAGACTTGTTCATCATTATGCAATTAACAAAAAAAAGTCTAACTTATTTCTAAGCAAACAGTGATAACAATACAAAAAGTTTAGGGCATAAATTACCTCAATGGAACGACAAGTATTAAGCATTATTTCAGTATCAAAATTAAAGAAATTAACAATTTTCAAGTAATTTTCCGTATCTTTTGTACAATTTTTTTTTTTTTTTAAAATAGATTTAATCATGTCATAGATATAAACAACCAATTGATAGATAAGCACATCCCGTCTACGGGAATGGCACTTACAACAAATTCAGGTAATACCAGGTAGCGACATGATTTTATGCAAGGATGACTAATATTTGTTGTTACAAGCGTCATACTTGCGATACATTTTAAAATCTGCTAACCCATTTATCCCTCCATTGTTAACCTGGACTTGCTCTGTTTGATTTGGTAAGGTTCAAATGTGACTTTAGGGGTGAATGGATTAAGAATGATTCATTATATATATAATTACCAACCCTCAAATATTTGATTGCCTTTTCCAAGCACTGATTTTTGTAATGTATGTCACATTAACAATATTTTATATTTTCTGAAATACGTTTTCTTCATTTCGAAATAATTTGTACTTCACAATTTGTTCATTTATCTTATAAACGCTTCTACATTATTGGAATCTTAAAATTTTGATTACCCTCTTCAGTCAACAATACAATTTAAATAATGAACTGTAGTAAAATCACCCTCACCAAAAAATGATATTAACAAAATTATTGCGTTAATATGGTTTTGAATACAGGGCTCTGGTAATTGTGTCTGAAACTTGCAAAGCGAAATTGGTATTTTGCCATATTGAATCAGTCCCTTTTCCCCTTGTTAATTGCATGATTGTGCTAATCTTTAGTAAACATAAAATACATAATCAGAAACACGAATAATAATAATAATAATTTGAGGTTCCTATATACCACTTTATCACAACCTAGTTCGTAGGTCGTCTCAAAGCGGTTCACAAATTAGTATCCTTGGTTATAGGGCTTTTGCAACCATCCAATACCTTTCTCAACTCCCTGGGGAGCATACGAAGATCAAAACACATTTTTGCTCACCTGAACTGATGGCAAATCAAATGTTATGTGAATTAAGTTGGCCAGAAATATTTAATAATAAAATGTTTTGCCTTATGATTTAATTTTGGGAATTAAAAATATTAGACACAGCTTTAATACAAATATGATGTGTCTCTCTTTTGACAATAAATTAAGGTTCCCTGTCCCACTGCTGGCAAAATGTTAGTAATTAACCCTTTCACCACTGTAGACCATAATGGACTCATCCATATCAATGCATAGTAGAGTCTACTAAAGTTACATAGGGGTGAAATGGTTAACCGTCCCTTAATTTCATTTTGGATATAACCGCAGAGCAACTGGGCCTGCATGGTTACTTCCCCTGACAGGTAGCTCAGCTGGATAGAGCGACAGTATAATGATGGGAGGGGTGAGGTTTGAATCCTGGTCAGGCCCCATTGAATTTTTACACTTGGGTCACTATTACATTTAGGTTTTTTTCCATTCTTTTCTCAAAAAGGTTTTGCAAGATAGGTACGATTTATCCAAACTGTGATCCTGCGGGAAACATGTTTCCAATGTGTAGTTATAGCAGTGGTTCAAGAATCTGCGGGAAACATGTTTCCAATGTGTAGTTATAGCAGTGGTTTAAGGATCCTTTAAAGCAGCCATGATTATAATTTACTGTTCTGTTATTGGTCTATCGTCCACAGGTTAAGTCAGAAAGAGTGTTTTTTTATGGAGTATACAAAACTTAACATAAGTTAGGATCTCGAATGCGTTTTAATTTTGAAATACCAATTAACTGTATGACCTTGGCATTTGACTTTGGAGATTTGAGATTTCAGGATATATGTTGGATATTTGTCTGAGGTGATACAGATCACAAATGGTTTGTTCAATTCTTATATGAAACATACTCCCCTGAAATAAACAAGGGATCAAACTTTGACATGGCATTGTTAAGTAAAAAGTTAACAAACTTGTTCCGCCTCTTAACGTCCCAAAATTGCATATTGACACAAACAGAAGTATTATTAAATTAAAAGGACAATTTAGAGAAAGTAGTGGTTTTTTTTTATATAATCTTTTGTAATCAATTCTCGTGGAGATATTGATTAGAGTCGATGTTTTCTAGGCATTCTTAATCAGTAATGAAGAAGCCCTTCGAGTATAAGCACTTATTCTGAATCAATAGCATCTTCCAAACAACATCTCCATCATCATTATAAATGAGTAATTCACTTTAAACCTACGTACTGTAATCGTACTTTGTGCGGGTTTAGATTCTCCCTATGGTACCCTCTTGTGTACATACTCTCATTAAACGCTTTTATTTTTATTTAAATCCAACTGTGAATAAAAACATTTCATTATGTCTAATAAATGCTAAGTTTGTTTTGAATACAAACAGAAATTGAAAACTTAATTTTTGCAGCTAAAAAAGTTCAAATTTTATTATTCATACCGAACTGAATAATCTCATTCCGAATCTCTTTGTGCTTATCTATAATGATATATATTCATAGTGACTTGAATGTGTTACATGCGAACTCAAACCATCAGTGCCGTAGACCACTTGGTACATATGTACTAAGCAGGGGTTCAGGATAATGCGCTATTTCAGTAGTAGCTATATATGTTGTGGCTTCTCCAAGAAATATCACTGATCACAGTGGACATTGGCCTCAGGTCATGTCATTATCATCTACATAAACGTTCGTTTGGATATATTTGTTTTTGGTATCTGATCGATTTAAAGGGTGTTAGCTAACCCCTTTCAGACTACAACCTGATCCATCAAATGTGATCCCTAATATTTTTATATCCCTGATATTCAAAATAGCTGTCAACGAAACAAAATCACATAATATGAATACAAAAATTAGTTTAAAAAAAAAAATACATATTATTAATATAAAAAGCATCTCAAGGCCATATACAATGTAACATGTAATGATATACATACATTCATGATGTAAAAAATGAGCAAAGACATATGTAAAACACGATTATCACCAGCAGAAGTAGAAATCATTTCTTTACTTGGGGATTTATTTCTATTTCTGTTGATTTTGCGGAAACTTGTTGATATTTTCCATGAAATATCATACCGATACCACTGTTGTAGACTTAAGTCTTCAAAATTATATTCTAAACATCTTGCATCTTGAAAATGAAATAAATCTTTGAAATAAGTTTTTCATGCAAAAACAATTATTTGATATAAGCACAAACTTTAAGTGCTGGGTAAAAATCAAATATCTGATTTTACAGTACCTATGATAGATAGCATTAGCTCATGATCCCAATCTTTCACCTCACATGATAATATTATACATTCTATATACAAGATTTTGCTGTGAATATCGCAGGGTCTTTCAGATTATGCAGACAATCAATTTGTATCAATAGTATAAACAACATCATTCTTAAACAGTAAAAAAAACATTGAAAGCACCAAATAACACACATTTAGTAAATTCTAATTTAATTTTTGAAATAAAATAAGGTGTTCATAAAGTAATGTCAATGCATTCGAGTTTTTATAAGCTGAATACTTTTAAAAAAAGTCTATTAAAAATAAGATAAAAATGAAGAAAAAAAAATCAAATTTTTTATTTGAACCCTTTGATAGAAAACCTAAAATAAATGTTAATGCATATATGAAAACACTATTTGTATGTGGAGTGGGAATCAATCCATACAGAAACACTAAAAAACATCATAGTCAACTTTGATGCTAAAAATTCAAACACAAAAGACAGTAAATATTTGCCATTATATCACACACAAACCATAAAAGAATGTACTTGTCAAACATGAAGTGTGTGCGACATGCTTAGAGATAGGTCTATTGATGTCATTGACTGGCTCTCTTTACATAAACTGTGAACGTGAAGCGATTTATGTAAAGAGTGCACTTTGGTTTTCGGTTTATACATCGATAGGACAATTTATTATCTTGTCCAATCCTTATGATTTAGTTCTAAAAAATAGAAAGAGAAAACGTATTGCAAAAACTACTGTGTATTTATATATATATATATATATATATAAAAAGTATTTTCTAAGAATGACACAATATTTTTTATACTGATCAATCAAATGCTGTTTTAATTCCCCGTGCAGTGCTATGACATGCCAGTGTAATTGAGTCGGAGCTTTCAACAGGCTAATTACATGTACTTTCTCTAATAATGACGCTTATGAGGCTAATTAGACTGTCCCCCGTCTCTAGAATATTGAATCATTTAGAAAAAAAAACCTCTCATAATTTGCATCACTTGGATGTCTGATTCTTATTAATCCTAAGTTCTAAACTAGGGGGAGATAAGCTAGCAGTAAAATGCAGCCGAGAAATTCTTCATAAATACTTACAGGCTGGTAGCCAGTCTAGAGGCTAATTGTCACCTCTCCAGACAGGTATCTTTGTATGTGTCATCTATCCAGACAGGTGTCTTTATATGTGTCACCAAAATTGAGTCCTGAAGTTCGTGTCACCTATCTAGACAGGTATCTTTGTATGTGTCGCCTATCTGGACAAGTTATCTTTGTAGGTGTCACCTCTCTGGACAGGTGTTTATGTATGTGTCACCCCTCTAGACAGGTATCTTTGTATGTGTCGCCTATCTGGACAAGTGTCTTTGTAGGTGTCAACTCTCTGGACAGGTGTTTATGTATGTGTCACCCCTCTAGACAGGTATCTTTGTATGTGTCACCTATCCAGACAGGTGTCTTTGTATGTGTCAATCCCTGGAGTAGACATGTGTCTTTGTATGTGTCACCTATCCAGACAGGTGTCTTTGTTTGTGTCACCTATCCAGACATGTGTCTTTGTATGTGTTACTTGTCTAGACATGTGTTATTGAATGCATCACCTATCTAAACAGGTGTCTTTGTATGTGTCTATCTAGATAGGTGTCTTTGTATGTGTCACCTATCTAAACATGTGTTATTGTATGTGTCACCTATCTAGACAGGTGTTTTTGTATGTGTCACCTATCCAGACAGGTGTCTTTGTAGGTGTCACTCCCTGGAGAAGACATGCATCTTTGTATGTGTCACCTACCTAGACAGGTGTCTTAGTATGTGTCACCTATCCAGAAAGGTGTCTTCACATATATTGTCTATCTTGATAGGTGTTTGTTTTAAGTGTCATCTTTATCTAGACAAGTTTTTCTGGTATCTTTTAACATACTCCTCAGCATACTTGTCAACATTCTAAAATTGTCATTAAAGATAAAACTTTTAGCAGCGTTTCAATATATTTGTAATACTATCATTCAATGAATCTAAACAATCAAATAATGCTGTAAATCTTCTTATTTAAAATATGCTATATGCAATACTCCCATTTAATGTTATAAATTAATTAATGTTAATGATTATTAATGGCAAAAGCAGAAATTGGGAAAAATAATAAGACACTTCCTCGAAAAAATTGGGAAGGTTGACAGGTATATTTCAGATTGGACATAGTACAAATCTCTTCCTTTAATACAACATATTGTTTTCCTTTTCATCATGATGAGATATCTTCAATATCGCTGCTCCGGTCAAGTGGTTTCCGCATATCTCGTCATCTCCGGCCCTATTCTTAACGTCATATGGAGCCGACACATTGTCATCCAAACATTGCAAGTAAAAGTTACGTACCATGAGGCTACATACAATGTTTCATTGTATTTACATTCCATACAGTAATTACTTTCTTCCTGTATACAGAAACAATAATCGTAGCCCGACAGTGTAGAGGAACTTCTAAGATAAAATTTTACATCCAATATACAACAAATTAAAACCTATATTTATCACTTGGGTAGGCTCCATTTTCTAACAGGGACAATATGCAGTAATTAGTGAAAACCAATGCTGTCCAGCAGTTGATTCCATACCTTTTCATGAACCATAGAGGAATCAAACCCCGATCATCTAGATGACAGATAAACTGACTGACCATTGAGTCACTTGACCACTCGGCTTTTATGTTGATTATAAACTGTTCTTGTTTGGTTGTATTTCATCACGGCACCATGCACAGGTCTAGGTAGATAATGGATTGTGGAAACCTGCAAACAACATGCAAGCAAGTGAGAGAGAGTAGAAATAACAGTTGATACTCAATACTGTCAAGAGTCTTTTTTCATCCAGACACTACAGTATTAACATACAAGATTCAGTGAAGACCGATCGATTAAATCGTTATTTTACAATTTCCGATATTTTTTAAAAATTGGGTATAAAATAATTGAAAAAATAGTATAAGTTTGAAATGAAATCTTCGGAAATGGGGTTCAATATTGACTCATTCACCCCTGAAATTTCATAAACTTTTTCAACATTTGAATTGGAAGAGTTCAAATGTGTCTTCAGGGGTAAGTGAGTTAAAAAAAAAAACTTTTTTTTTTCTCTTTATTTTTCTATTTGATGGTAAAAGGTATGAGAAAAGCAGGTTTTTGAAGTGACTTTGTTATTCTCTATCCCTAAATCATCCTGCATTTCTGATGGTATCCAAGCAAGCAAGGTATTGGAACTAACCAAATCAGGCAACAGTTTTAGCTCTGTGCACTGTTTTAATAGAAATATAAAGAATCTTGACAGTACATGTATCACATGCTTAGGTTATCAGGGTCACATCCAGGAGTAGAAAGCAAATCATTCAAATTTCTTGAGATAGTTAATCTGTAATGTATTGGGTACAATATCACCTGTGAGTATTACTCGGGGCCATGCTGGTTCAGGAAACAATCTTAATTACTTTATATTAGGGCTGCAAGGTTACATTAACATGATGATATGATGCGTAACACAATACTGTGGCCACGATACGATACATATCACGATAATTATTATCACAGTTTAAGCAAAGAAAAAAGATATGTTGCAAAATTTTAAAGGCAACACTTCAGCAGGCAACAGACTTGGTCCAAAATGGGCATGACTTCAAATTTTGACACAATTCAGGTCTTTCGACGTGCATGCAGAGCTGGACCTGTCACTTGCCATGTGGGAATGGATATGAGTAAATTAAATTCAGAAATGACAAAATCCATTAAAAGTATCGTAGGTGTATCGTGACCGCCCAAAAAATATTTTGTATCGTACCGTATTCAAAATATCGTGATATATCGTCGCACAATATAACATTGCTGCCCTACTGTATATATAAATATCAGAAGTAACTGTAAAGAAAAATTAAGTCATAATGGGCATGAAATTCAAGGCAATTATATATTACTGAACAAAACATGCAAGATCATTCAGGACAAGATTTTTACATGTACAGTATTTGTCAATCGAATCTCCATGGTGCTATTTAGCGAATGAAATTATAAGTTTGTCGTTTTGGTTTTTACTGGAATTTAATTGCAGCTGAAATATTGAAAAATGTTAACATTTTCGGGGCTGTCTTATTTAAGTGTTATTTTGTACTTAAAATATTGTGCTAACCTATAATAGCATTAATTTTAGTTCCTGTAAATAGTTTTCTATTGCATGTCATACAGATACATCATTTCATCAATGCACTAATCTGTTAACTTTTTCACCACTGTAGACCATTATGGACTCATCCAGATCAATGAATGGTAGGGTCTATTAAAGTTATATAGGCGTGAAAGGGTTAAAATTAAATAATGGCTAAAAACCTTAGTGTGTTAAAATGAGAATGTTGAAAGTATATATATATTCCTCAAGTGATGTTGGTAAATATATACTGGATACAGGGATTTTTTTAGTTGTAGTTTAATTTTCGAATTTTCAACACTGCAGTGAGGGTGAAATTGTTATGACAGCAAAATTTTGGTAGTACACTGTGACCCTATATGATAACTTCATGTGAAGAGTGAAATTTACACTGAGCAAATATGCATTTTACTGGTAAAAGGTGACTTGTTCCAATAAACCGAGTATACAATTTTGAAAATGATCATGCTTATTCCATAAAGTATTTTTTCTTTTGTTTGCCATAAACTACATCTGCAGGAACCATTAAACTTAACCCTGTGAGACAGTATTCATGATTTCATGAACTTTCATGTATGGTTCATGAATATGAATTATTCATGACTGTCTCAAATTGGTATTGTCTGTTTGACTGATACTTTCAAAATTTTATGCTATCAGCTATAAATCTATAATTGAAAACTTGCAACTCATGATGATCTACTAGTAGCCTGTGATGTGGTCGCTAAACAAAACCGCATATCTCCACTAATCAACTCATGATGATCTACAAGTAGCCTGTGATGTGGTCGCTAAACAAAACCGCATATCTCCACTCATCAACTCATAATGATCTACAAGTAGCCTGTGATGTGGTCGCTAAACAAAACCGCATATCTCCACTCATCAACTCATAATGATCTACAAGTAGCCTGTGATGTGGTCGCTAAACAAAACCGCATATCTCCACTCATCAACTCATAATGATCTACAAGTAGCCTGTGATGTGGTCGCTAAACAAAACCGCATATCTCCACTCATCAACTCATAATGATCTACAAGTAGCCTGTGATGTGGTCGCTAAACAAAACCGCATATCTCCACTCATCAACTCATAATGATCTACAAGTAGCCTGTGATGTGGTCGCTAAACAAAACCGCATATCTCCACTCATCAACTCATAATGATCTACAAGTAGCCTGTGATGTGGTCGCTAAACAAAACCGCATATCTCCACTCATCAACTCATAATGATCTACAAGTAGCCTGTGATGTGGTCGCTAAACAAAACCGCATATCTCCACTCATCAACTCATAATGATCTACAAGTAGCCTGTGATGTGGTCGCTAAACAAAACCGCATATCTCCACTCATCAACTCATAATGATCTACAAGTAGCCTGTGATGTGGTCGCTAAACAAAACCGCATATCTCCACTCATCAACTCATAATGATCTACAAGTAGCCTGTGATGTGGTCGCTAAACAAAACCGCATATCTCCACTCATCAACTCATAATGATCTACAAGTAGCCTGTGATGTGGTCGCTAAACAAAACCGCATATCTCCACTCATCAACTCATAATGATCTACAAGTAGCCTGTGATGTGGTCGCTAAACAAAACCGCATATCTCCACTCATCAACTCATAATGATCTACAAGTAGCCTGTGATGTGGTCGCTAAACAAAACCGCATATCTCCACTCATCAACTCATAATGATCTACAAGTAGCCTGTGATGTGGTCGCTAAACAAAACCGCATATCTCCACTCATCAACTCATAATGATCTACAAGTAGCCTGTGATGTGGTCGCTAAACAAAACCGCATATCTCCACTCATCAACTCATAATGATCTACAAGTAGCCTGTGATGTGGTCGCTAAACAAAACCGCATATCTCCACTCATCAACTCATAATGATCTACAAGTAGCCTGTGATGTGGTCGCTAAACAAAACCGCATATCTCCACTCATCAACTCATAATGATCTACAAGTAGCCTGTGATGTGGTCGCTAAACAAAACCGCATATCTCCACTCATCAACTCATAATGATCTACAAGTAGCCTGTGATGTGGTCGCTAAACAAAACCGCATATCTCCACTCATCAACTCATAATGATCTACAAGTAGCCTGTGATGTGGTCGCTAAACAAAACCGCATATCTCCACTCATCAACTCATAATGATCTACAAGTAGCCTGTGATGTGGTCGCTAAACAAAACCGCATATCTCCACTCATCAACTCATAATGATCTACAAGTAGCCTGTGATGTGGTCGCTAAACAAAACCGCATATCTCCACTCATCAACTCATAATGATCTACAAGTAGCCTGTGATGTGGTCGCTAAACAAAACCGCATATCTCCACTCATCAACTCATGATGATCTACTAGTAGCCTGTGATGTGGTCGCTAAACAAAACCGCATATCTCCACTCATCAACTCAGATATTCGCTCACTCATCACTTGTCTTTTTTTTTGTAATTACAGTTTAATAATTTTAACAAGTTGTTATATTAACTTGTAACAAGAGGTCCCAGGGGCCTTAATGCTTGCTCACTTGAGTTGAAAATGTCTCGGCCAATTAGAGGCTGCGGTGGCTATCTTGGATTATCAGACCGGCATGAAAAGTTTAACAAACCTTAATGAGGATCTTAAGGAGAACATTGGTACCAAATTTGGAGTCAATCTGCAGTGTAGCTGTTCTTGAAAAGAGGTCTAAAATGTCTCAGTTAATCAGAAGCTAGTGTTTTCGGATCCACACGAAAAATAAGAACACTCATAGGTAACAGGGGCAGCTGTTTTAGAGAAGAATTCAAAGAGAATTCAAGGCTGCGCTGCAATCTTGGGATTTTCAGATTGGCACACTTGTTGTGGATCTCATAAGATATATTTGTGTCATGTTTTAAGTTGATTGCTTCAGCCATTCTTTATAAGAAGAAGTCGAAAAATGTCTTAGCAAATCAGAGGCTAATGTGGCCATCTTGGTTTTCGGGCCGATACAAAAAGTAAGAACATTTGTTTGCGACATCATAAGGAACATTTGTACGAAGTTTAATGTCAATCCCTTTAGAGGTTCTGGAAAAGGGGTTGAAAATGTTAATGTATGACACACAACATACTACGACAAAAACAGATGGCAATAGCTCACCTAAGCAATCATCTGAGCTAAAACAGATTTCAATATAAGATTTGAAATGTATGTGTTTGTCATAATTAACAATATAGACCAAACTAACCAGGTACCATTTCCAAAACAATTTCATGATAAATATTGTTTATCAGTAAATATTCGCTGCAGTTTTGACTTTTTCACCTTCCATCAAGAAGGCAAATTTTACTTGACAGACCATATTGATACCAATAACATATTATATATACTGGGTAGCCATTACATATGAAGTAGAAAAATAACTCTGGATGAGAATTTACATTATTATTTTGAAATTATTATTTTTTTTTTTTTTGAATTCTAACTTTGTTGCTTAACTTTCATCTAATGATTATGTGGATTTTTTTCTCCTGATCTCGTCACATGTTTTTTTAAATTTATTTTCATTGATTCAAGTTATTAAAATCATTGATGTTTTTATTTTCATAGATAAAGAAAACTGAAAAAAAAAAATTTCACAAAAGTTCCTACCCTTTAAACTGAGGTTGAGTTCGTGACAGGAAAATGAACATTTCTACCATTCTATACATTCCACCTCAACCTCAAAGTTCCAGAGGCAATGCTCTTCTATGTTTTCTGCACCCTTGGACTATGTCACAACAAAAATGAGGTGCTCTGTATGTGCAACCTTGTAAATATTACAAGTAGAATAATTTGATCCTTTGATGTACATCAAAAGTACTGTGCGACAGCATAACGGTAAAGTTGACCGGCTTTGAAGTTTGGTGTTGCTTCAAATCGCCTGTTAAGGTATTATTTGCCTAGCGATTGGTCAGGGTTGCAGTGAGCGCAAGTTAACATAACTCCTTGAATTTCGAGGATGATGCTACAGTTTCATGATGATAAGGAGTCAGAATATATTATGGTACTCACCTCTGCTATTGTCTCGTTTCTTCAAGACAACACAGAACATGGCAATTGTCAAGGCAGTAAAACCAGCGGCGCCGACAGCTATCCCAGCAATCTCTCCTCCACTTAGTTCTCCTGTAAAACAATAAAACACTGAATTTGTATACCTGGTGGAGAAAGGGACAACCTAGTTCATATTTACATTGTCAGCAGTAAAATCAAACAGGCCATCCGATCACAGCTGTTTTCTTATTTCAGAACACAGAACTTTGCAACATAATCCTATGTTCTCATTGTACATTAATATTGTATAGTAGAATGTACAATGACCGACCTGTAGCTGTCCGTTATTAAGCCGTAGCTGTCTGTTATTGTGTTCAATCAAGGACAGCTAGCTACTGGCCTAATATTGGACAATTACACGTAGCAGAAATAATTTTAAGCACCAGCTTATTTCAAAAGAAAATCCACAATTTACTTGCAGCATATGACTTTACTAGTTATATGTACATAAAATTAAAGGGGCATCACGCTGAAGTAACTTTTTTTTGGGTCTTTTTTCCAAATACTACATAAACATATCAAGTGAGACTCCTTATGGAAAATAACGATCGGATTTGGCTGAAATAGATTCATAAAAATGATTAAATCTAAGATAATCATCGGTATTTCTGCCTGTCTGACCAACGTTTTGTTCAAGGATTTCCCTCTATTGGCGCATGCGCATAGCACACCATTTCTTTGTAAACAAAATGACTGGCCGTGTGAAGTAAGCGGAAGAAAAGTGTTGTACCGTGTCAGCTACGAAGCGAAAAGTTGCCAAATGGTCAAAAGATAGCGCAAGGGGTACGTTACGGAATCATTATTGCCAATGGGAAGTATTCAAACAGAAAATAACTGCCCTAGCAGTTAGTACGGTGCATGTATTCTTCCGGATAGCGGCCGGTTAAGCTGAAATAATATCGACAGAAATGCTAGCGCTGTTTATGTTATGAATAAATATCTAAAACTATTAACCTCACTAGTATCATTGTGTGAGTTTGAACACAGATGAACTTAGTTTAATATGTTAATGGGCATGTATCGGAGAGAGTTTACTTTGTGTTTTTTA